ACCCTGTGGACGTGCTGGGTTGACACTGGATGGGTGCTGAGTACCCACCAGAGCTGCTCCATCACTCCCACGGGAGACATTCCTCCATGAACTTCCTACCCTGAGTCCTTCCCACAGGCTGCTGTCCTCCATGGACTTCTCCAGTGTGGGTGCTTTCCACAGGGTCAGTCCTTCAGGCTTGGGATGCTCCAGCCTGGATCCTTTCCACGGGGCCATGAGTCCTGCCAGCAAACGTGCTCCGGTGTGGGTTCCTCTGTGCATGGACACAAATCCTGCCAGGATCCTGCTCCAGCACGGGCTCCTCCACGGACTGCAGGTGGATCTCTGCTTCCCTGTGGATCCCCATGGGCTGCAGGGGCACAGCTCCTCACCCTGGGCTGTGCCACGGGCACCTGCAGCACCTCCTCCTCCTCCTCCTTCACTGACCTTGGTGTCTGCAGGGCTGATCTCACAGATTCTCACTCCTCTCTCTGCTGCCATTTACATTGTGCAGGTATTTTTATCCGTGGAGAGAGCAGGATGTGGAGAGAGCAGGATGTGGAGAGAGCAGGATGCGGCTAGAGCGGGACCGGCCCCGTGGGACAGAGCAAGAACATCCGTAACAACTTGTCGGTTAACAAGCTGTGAAAGGAGACAGACAGCCAGGAGCTGGCAGCCTGCGCCCTGGAATGAAGGACACCTTCCCTCCCTGAGCAGCTCGGCAGGAAGGGCTCCTCTGCAGAGTCCTGCTCCTTCCCTTCCTCCCGGCTCCTGCAGGCTGAGCTCCCTGCCACTGCGTCGGGGCTGCAGGGAGAGCAGCTGAGGCAGATCCGCCCCCTGCACCCCATCAGCCCGGCCCCACTCACTCGTGCAGCAGCAGGGAAAGAGATCTGGTGAAGCAGATCCTTGTGGGAAGGGCTCCAGACAGCCGTGGGACACAGCTCCGAGCAGCAGCTGAAGGGCGGCAGCCTGAGCCAGGGTGATGCCAAACCTTCTCTCACCCCACGAGCCTTCCTCGCTCTGCCTTTGCCCCCTGGATTGGGGTGCAGCAGCTGGGGGGTGGCAGGTCCCCTTCCCCACGGGCACCAGCTGCACCCCGAGGTTTCTGCTGGCAGCGTTGGCTTTACCCCACATCCTGCCTGCAGAAGGGCCTGTCCAGGTGCTGCCCTTGGTGCCCAGGCTCCAGTGAGGCTCATCCCAGCCCATCCTGCTGAAGCCCTGACAAGGACAGAGAACAAGGGGATGACACTGTTGGGGTGCCAGTGTCATCCCCCTGCCCCTCCTGTGACAGGGACGGGCACACCCCCACCCTGCAGAACACCCTGTGCCTGGCAAGTCAAGTGGTTAAAGACACACAACTCTCACCAGCACATCCAGCAGTTTCATACCCCTGACAAGAGTGTAAATCCATCCTGATGGACTGGAAAATTGGAAAGCCAGTGCTCATGCCGTGTTTCCTACAGACAGCTCCGAGCTCCTGAAAGATGCACTCGGTGGCAGCCCCGGTTCCAGCCGTGTCGCTCACGTCATGCTAATTAAAATAGAGCCTGTGTTTTGTAACAGGATTTCCTTGGAGCCTATTTTACTGCTCAGTAACCACTTTCAAATATTTGGAAAATAAAATTGCATCAAGTAAATAACTTTCGGATTGCTCACAGAAGGTTACTCTGGTTTCGGGTTTTTTTGTTCCCAAAGCCCACTGGAAGCAGCTGTGCTCATCGCAGTGACAGAGGATGGAAACTACACAGATTTCTGAGGCTGCTTGTAGTCTACATCAAAAGCTGTGCGTTATTTAATCAGACAAAGCCTATTTCATTAAAAAAAAACAACTGTCTGTACAAAATGGGATAACAAAGCACCCCAGCACTTGGCACTGACCTGGAATACCCAGGGAACATCCCTGCCTGCTGGCAGGATGGCCGTGATCACACCAGCCTGTTTTGATGCCCACATTACCTTTCCAGAAATGCCCTGGCACTCCTCTGCCTCATCCATCACTTATTATCCATTAACTTCTGAACCCAGCACCACCTGACTTCCAAGGGATGGATCACACACTTCCCTTTTCCCATGGTTTGCTATTCCAAGATCTCTGCTGCCGCTCTGGATGCCAAGGGAGCACATTCAGCTGACTCGGTGCAGCCTGGCTCCTCAGCCCTAAATCCTGCTACCAGATTCCTCAGCGAAGGAGAAGTTAAAAATGTACAGAAGGAAATGTCTGTGACACTGTGACATCCACAAAACTGCGCTTGAAATGGCATCTTTGTATATTCATAATGGCAAAAAATACCAGAGAAGCAGAGGGCTGAGAGAGACTAATTTCATTTACTCCTGATCCAGGCTCTCCTCATCCTTTCTGCCAAGGAGGAGAGAAGGAAGAGGAGCCATTTGCCATGGCCTTTGATAGCTCTCCATCAGACAATTCCCATTGCTGTTATCTGTGCTGGCAGCCTGGCTCTGTGCTGTTATCTCGTTGCTCGGGGTGCTGCTCGAGAGCTCACCACGCACTTGTTGCAGCCCTCACTGAGTTCACGCTCACTTTTCCTTCCTGCTGGACACACCTGATCCTCTGGAAACAGCCCCCGTGGTGCTGTGCTCACCACAGAGCCAGGGGCACCTCTGTCCTTGCTATTGGGCTGTGACAGCCACCCCAGGAGTGCCCCAACACCTCGAAGAAGAGAAGGGAAGGTACAGAATTTGGGGGTGCAGAGGACCCCAAAGTTCAGCACCCCCAGCTGTATTTCTGCTCCTGGCACTGCAGCCTTGGCAGGGTTTGCTGGTCTCATCACAGCCTGTATTGGACACCCCAAATATATTTAGAAAGCCTGGATCTCCCAGGGGTTCAGCTGTGTCCGTGCCATCCCCAGTGCCAGGGGCTGAGCCTGCATGGGCAGCACGGGCAGCGCTGCCCTGTCTGCACTCAGCTGCCCACACCCCCCGTGTTTGCCCAGCGCATCATTCCAGGGTACAAATAGATGCCCCAGTTGGTGCCCACATCCCCGGGATGCTGCTGCTCCGGCACAGGCTGCCCGGAGCCTCCTGGCACCAGTCCCTGTGCAGGGACGTGCCTCTGCTGCCTGCTCTGCGCCGGTGGGTGGGTGTGAGCGGATGCCGAGAGCACAGGAGAGGCTTTCACACCTCCTCTCTGGTGATCTACACAGCTTCACCAGTGCAGAGCACCCAAAGCCACCAGCCAAGCACCCGATGGGTGCAAGTCATGTGAAAATGTTTTTTTCTTGAACAGAAAGAGCAGCAGATGGAGCAGAGCAATCTGTCTCTGCGGGGTCTGATCCTGCTCCTCCCCAGCTGGAGAACAGCAGGATTCACTGCTCTGGGCCCCTGGCTGTGTCCCCCTCCACACAGATGGACAAAACTCCCCCCCAGGCACGGGCAGAGCTGCCACGTTGCCACCGGCTCCAGGCTGCGTAGGCAGGAGTTGGGATTTTACTGCAATAATTCACCAAACCTTGTAAAGGGTCAACAATTTATCAGCTCCCTCTCTCTGCCAAGGAAAGAGGAGTTCAGCACACTGTGTTCTTCCACCATGAGATTTATGGCAGATCGTGCCAAATCCTGTTCCCGGGAGCTGGACTGCCTGCTGATGCTCCCAGCGGGACTGGGGCAGCCCTCCTGCCTCAGCACACGAGGCAGTGAGGGAGCTGAGAGCCCTGCCTGGGCCTGTGCTTTGCTGGCTTTGCTTCCCAGCCCCCCAGGCCCCCGGGGAGCCCGGGATGGTCGCTGCTCTCGCACAGAGCACCGGCAGCCCGGAGCAGAGCGTTTGTGTAACACACCAGAGGACCGTGCCTCTCTCTGCGTCCCCTGGCTGGAACAGGATGCCAGAACTGGCAGGGACTTCACATCTGATTCCTCCACACGTACACAGAACACAAACCCATGCAGGTGAGGGAGAAATGCCACCGTCTACATCCACTGCTGGTTTGCTGCCCAGAAAGGAAGGATTCTGTAATACAGTTCCTGTCTGGAGAGCCAGGTTTCAGACGGAAAAGTCAAAGTCATTTAATGCAATCTGACCACGAGAGCAGGGGCTGGAGTGAGCAGACAGCACCGCACAGCACTCCTGACACCAGGAGCTGCTGGTGTTTGCTACAAACACCCTGCCAGCCCCGGAGGGCAGCCTCAGGCCCCGAGCACACTGCAGCACACACCGGCCTCTCCCTTCTCCCACCGAACAATCCACGCTGGGAACCCCACCCAGGCGCACACCCGAGCCCGACTGCCTCGTCCTGACATCCCAGCGGTGCCGAGGGACTGGGCACAGGCAGCGCTTGAGTCGCCTCCGAGCCCCACACGAGTTTGTGGTGACTTTGCCAAGTCACCCGCGAGCACATCCCGAAGCCTATTCTTAGGTCTGGCATCGCGGCAGTGAGAGAGGGAGCGGGTCTGCGTGGGGATGGGGGACACGTGGAACGAGCAGACAGCCCCTGGGTAAACACTCAGCCCCCACGGCCACCCCCTGGCCGAGACGATGGGGCGGGAACACCAGTGGGGACATGGAAGTGGGGGCTGGAGGGACACCGGGGGCTGGGGACGCACGGAGGGCTGGGGACACACGGAGGGCTGGGGACGCACGGAGGGCTGGCGACACACGGAGGGCTGGGGACACACGGAGCTGCTCTCCCTGCGGGAGGGAGGCGGAGGGTCCGGCACGGCTCCCGGGAGGCCGCGGCCCCGTCGGCGCGGGGCTCCCGGTGAGGACGCGGCTCCCGGAGCGCTCCCGGGCGGCGGGAGCTGTCCGCCCCGCGGTGCTGAGCTCCGCGTTCCGCCGGGCCCCGCTCCCGCAGCGCCAGAAGTTTCATCCCGGCCCGGGGAGCAGCGGAAGGGGGCATCCCCGATCGGGGATGGCACAGCCGGTTCCAGCAGCCCTTCCCTCTCCGATCCCCCCCTCTCCCCGGTCCCGGCTGCATCCCCCCCGCGCCGGGCGGCGCCCCGTCCGCGGAGCCGGGAGGCGGCGGGCCCCGGGAGCCGCGCAGCCCCGCTCCGCCCCGCTCCGCCCCGCTTACCTGGGCGCGGGGCCGCGGGGGTGCCCAGCAGCAGCAGGGCGAGCAGGCAGAGCCCGCGGGGCCCCGGCATCCTGCGGCCGGGGCGAGCCCAGCGGAGCCGAGCGGAGCCGATGCGATGCGAGCCGCTCCGCGCCGAGCGGGGCCGGGCCGGGCGGGGGCGGGCGCTGCCGGCGGAGCGGGGGCGCGGCGGAGGGCGGACCGGAGCGGAGCGGAGCGCGGGCAGCGAGCGGCGGGGGAGGGCGCCGGCCGCCGCTCCGGCCCCGCCCGCAGCTCCCCCCGGCTCGGCCCGGCCCCACCGCCCAGCTCCCGCAGCAGCCCCCCGGCCGCACGGTTGCCCGTGGTTTCCTCCGTGCTCCCCGGCTTCTTGCCGCTCCGCGAGTTCCCGGTGCCCTCCCACTGCAGGCCCCTCAGCACCCTGTCTCTTGTCCCGTCTCACTGCCCCTTGTCACCAAGCCCCCTACAGCATCCAAGGCCGCTCTCAGCATCGCAAGTCTGCTCGGCATCCCACCCCCTACACCCAAAGCCCCCCTCAGCATTCCAAGCCATTCTCACTCCCTCCTCAAGCCCAGATGTACCCCCCTTCCCTCTCCTCTGGCTCCCCCAAAGCAGGCTGTGAATAGGGCAGAGGTGCAGTGGGGAGTCTCCCATGGCTCCCTTGGGATCAGGGATGCTCTGGGGCTTCTGACCCAGCAAAGCCTGGCTCGGAGGGAGCTGCAGCTGTGACCTGCCTGACCTCGGTGGGACGGAGGCACTGAGCACACAGTAGTCCACACTTTGTGGGTGCTGCTTAGGGCCCCCCGTAATGTTGGGCTGGCACTGTGGCCATGGGTGAGCACTGGGGTACCCTCAGTCCAGTGGCAGAACAAGAAGCACACAGGCGGTCTCTGCTCAGGACCTGCCCCACAACTCCTCAGCTTCCTTGCCTGCAGGGGAACCGTGCCTGGATACCTCCCAGGAACCCTCTGCCCATCCCACCAGCAGGAACAGCGAGCCCAGTGCTCCCAGCAGGCCCCTCCTGAGCCAGTAGAGCACACGGTGTAATTACAGTGACTTTGAGAAGAATAGAAACAGAGGCTTTGTTCTCTTGAAATCTCAAATCCTGCCCTGAAATGTTTACTGTGAATCACCTCCCGGTGAGAGCGCCCGGTGCTCCCGGCCGCTCCGCCTGTCAAGTCAAATAGCCAGAGCGATGTCACGAGTGCACAACACCCGTGTCAAACAGCACAAGACGCAGCCCGGCCTCTTCCCTAAAGAGCCAGTTTGTTGATGCTGCCATCTGAGAAGTCCCCCGCTACCTTTGCGGGAGCAATTACACTGATCCCGTTACCTCAGCAACAACCATCACGCTCCGGTGTCACCGCCGGTGCCACCACGCACAACACACCGAGGCAAGGAACTGTCCAAACACGGGGACTGATCCTGCTGCGTTTTCCCCGCCGGGCTCTGCTGAGCTCCCTCCTTCCCCGGCGCCGCTGGAAGCAGAGGAACAGCCCGGGGATGCTGAGGAGAGGCCGGCAGGTCATTTGCATTCCCAGCGTCGCTCCCAGCCGCGGCCAGCTGGGAGCAGTTGGGCAGCAGGCTCGAGAAGAACAAAATAAGAAAGAGAGAGAAAGCGGGCGAGAGGTGCAGCATGTCATTTAACGCTGTTACACTCGTACCCAATTGGGACTCACCTGCTCAGAGGTTTAATTTGGTTGAACAAAGCTTGTGGCACAGCGAGTGCAGCCTGCACTGCTCCCCCTCTGCTCCAGCCTCGCCTCCCTCCCGACCTGCCGGTGCTAAAGATAAGAGTTGTCCCTCATTTAGCAGTTCTCCTTGAGTGATTTTTATTGTGCTCATCTGCATTGTAGTAAACTCCTAAGATAGCCAGATAATAACAGCAGTGCCATGGAAACAGGCAGGAAAAGAGACCAAACACCGTATTTGTGATGCAGAAATGCCCACAAAGTGGCAAAAGTTGTTAGTGACGGAGAGGGAATGGTGAGGCTCAAGCTGCTCAGCCAGGCTTAGGGGGTGCAGGTGGGCCCAGCTCCCATGAGATGCACCCCATGGGCATCACGTCACAGACTCCAGGACATCTCACCTGGGGAAGGACCTGCTGCTGGGAATTCTGCTGCCTGGGGTCCTCCTGTCCCTTTGCTGGGGGCTCAGGTGGGCTGGGAGGCTGGAGTGTGTGCAGGGACACGGGCTGGTGATGTTCCCCCCCTCGCACAGCCCCCTGAATATCAGGCTAGCCCAGAGTCCGAGGCTGTGAGGGGAGGAATATCAGGAGATGGCAAAGATTTCCAAAAGAGGCTCTTACCCCGATATGTTGGTTCAGCTCTCTTTATTCTGTGATGTCCATGTGGAGAGCGGAGCAAAGAGAATGAACAGGAAATGTCAGGGGTCTGTACAGACTTTGGACAGGGTGGGCTTCCCTGGCTCTCCACCAACCTGTCGGGGCAGGAAGGAGGGTCCAGGGTTATCTGATCAGAGTCACAGGGTCCCGGGGAAGGGGCACAGAGTGCCCAGGAGCTCACTGTAACAGGCTGGGATGAAGCACAGGATGCACCATGGGATGTGATTGGGATCATTTCCCTCCCGCAGCCGGCGCTGAGGCCTCATGGGCTGTGAAATCTCATCTCACCCGGAGAAACAGCGGGATGTGTGTGGAGGGAGAGCAGCAGCTCCCGGGATTTCTGTGCTCCTGCTGCTCCCCGAATCGCCAGGGCCCTTCTGCCTGCAGCTGGGACCTGGCACCCTGAAAGCCCTGCAGCTGGAGCAGCTCCTGCAGCCCTGGCATGGCTGGGCATGGCTGGGCATGGCTGGGCATGGCACAGCTCAGCTCCACAGCAGCAACAGCGCCGACAGGAGCAGACAGAACGTGGCCCCTTGAGCTCCTTCAGCAGCTCTCAGGGCCAGAGATGTTTGCGTGGTGAGAAACCTGAGGTATTCCAAGAAATAAGACAAACATCTCCCGAGGCCACTTTATGGGCATTGCTCTAATTAGCACCGTGTTCATCGGCCATTACCTCAGACCTTTGATTAACAGTGGAGAAAATCAATAACTGCTCTAAAAACTCAGATAAGTTTCACAGCTAATTTTAATTTCACATTTTAATCTTGTATTAATGTCAATCTTAATTACCATAATTAAGTCAGATGTGACTTAGCAAGAGCAGCTTGGAGATAAGATGTTAAAGGCAGACGGTGCCTTTCTGCTCACTGCAGTTTGGGAAGGGGCTGACGACAGGGAGCAGAGTGGGAGTCTCACAGGGCACCCATTTTCCTGTCCTTCCCAATGTCCCCAGCCTTGCCAGCCCCCTGCCTGGAGAGCTGCATTGCCTTTTGGCAAAGAGCAGCTTTTATTTCGAGTTCCTGATCCCCCAATCCCTCAGCACCGGGGAGCACAGGGAGGTGACAGCCCCACGGCACCAGCCATGCCTGTGACTCTCCTTGTCACAGCAGCTGAGATCCACGGGATCCGAGAAAATCAATCTCTCATTTACTCTGGCGCCGCTGCCGCAGCCGCCGCCGCTGCCGCGTTTGCTCCGCGGTCGTGCCCATCGATCGCTGCCCACTCGCAGCTCCCCGTGCCCGCTGAGGGCAGGGGCAGTGCTGCCAGGGGCTCCAACCAGCCTGGGCACTGCCTGGGGAGCCATGGACACATCCACCAGAGCCCTGGATGCATCCACCTGGTGGGATCCTGCAGCATCTGCCCTGCAGTGGGGTGGGACAGACCGCACAGGCAGCTCCTGTCCCCCCACACTGGTGGGAGATGGGGACACAGGAGCTTTGGGGACAGAGGTGCTTTGGGGACAGACCCCACCAGTACAAACCCCATTCCCCTGACTCCATGTGAGCATTCCCAAATACTCTAAGGAATCCTGCTGAGGATGCAGCTGCTCCATGGGGCTCCCCTGAGGTGTGCACGGGTGCCAGGCTGCCCCTCCTGCCCTCTGCTCACACAGGGTGTGGGAATACAGACCTTTCCTCTGGCTGCCCTGGCAGGCCTGGGACCCTGGCAGGGGTCAGGAACCCCCCTGGACAGAGCCCCCAGAGACACTGGCTGTGATCTCTGGCCATGGAAAAGAGTTTTCAATCCTACAGGATGAATTACCAGCTCTGAGTGTTTGATATGAGTAATAATTAAGTGTGGCACGGGTGCAAAAGTAAAATTTTAGGATTCTAGCTGAGGGGTTCAAAGGGGACAAGATGGAGGAAATTGGGTGTGCCTTGTCCTTTTTCTCCTTCTTCTTCATGGCCTCCATGTTTCACTGTGGTGTTGGCATTTTTCTGTTGGTTCAGGCTGGGGACACACTGTCCAACGTAGGTGACAGATATTGGCACGTTCTTGTAAATGCAGCCCAGGGAGTTTCTGGTATTTAATGTTTGTCACATCCCACTGAGGGCAGAGCCCCACACGCTGCCCTGCAGGACAGAGCTGGGCAGGGCAGCAGAACATGGTAGAGATAAACAGAATAAACAACCTGGAAACCAGCACAGATGAATTATGACTTCTTTGGCAGCGGAGCAGAAAGACAGAGACTTTCTACAATCTCAGGATCATCAATACCTCAGATTCCAACACAGGGGAGCAGCCTCCTCCCTGCAGCTTCCTTGGGAAGTTTTCACCCCTCTTCCACAGTGCCCCGGCTGGGGGGGCTTCAATGGCACAAGGAAGTGGAAAAATAACCTCAGCTTTGGAGTGGGAAGCAGAGGTGCCCCGTGGTGCAGCTGAAAGGCGGCTCTGAGGAGCCGTCCCCAGGCTGGGGACACTGCTGCTGAGTGGCAATATTGTCCCAGGGCAGAAAAGGCCTTTGTCCCTCCGAGATGGCAGAGCCACTCCAGCCTTTGGCTTTGGGAACGGGGCTGATTCCCTGCTTTGCCTTCCAAACACGCTGCTGAATGGGGGGTTTGAGCTGGAGGCCAGGCTGGCATCCAGCCCCTCCGAGCCAGTGCCAGCGGGCACAGCTGGGGGCCCGCTCAGGAGGGAAGTCCTTGTTCCTTGTCAACAGAAGAAGACTTTGCACAGCTTGAAAATAGGCTCCCTGTTGCCCACTGGGGTTTGGAGGGGGCTGAGGGGGGAAAAAACCCCCTGAGGGGATGGCAGGCAGCAGCATCCCTGTGGGGCTGGAGGGAAGGGACAGGGT